AATTTGTGTGATTGTGACATATGCCACATCATGATGTAATAAAAATGGTATAAAAAAGTGGTGTAAGTGTAGCATTACTCTTATTATTTTTACCCATATTTCCAATCCTATTCTCCAAATAATATTTGGCACATTATTCCAGAAATATTAGCCTATTTTTTTAATTACTTTTAGACCTCTTAAGGTTATTAATTTCATTAAATACCCCCTAAAAAAGGTTTAAAAAGTAACAAAAATACCTCCGTCGACCCATACTTGCCAGATTTCGGCAACCATCGTCAATGGTAGCCGAAATCCGTCACAACGGTGAATTATCGACCGGAACTTGCTAGTAATTCACCGATCTGGCCTTTTCCAACTAGATCCATAGTGGATCTGGCTAGAAAAGGCCAGATCTAGTCATCAGTGACGGCCAAAGAAATGGCCGATGGCCTTCTTTAGTCTTTTCCGGCTGTGACGGCCACATATAACTGTAGATTTGGCCAGAAAAGGCCATAGTGACACCATATCGATCAGATCTGACCGGTATGTGTCGTTACACAATTTTTCGACCAGATTCCGATGGTGGTGGCCGGAATCTGGCACTGGGGGTGGTGGAGGTCTTTTTGTCATTTTACAATATTTTTATATATTAGGGTATTTATTAAATTAGCAAACTTATGGGGTTTTTTTTATAAATTTTTGAATTTTACCTCATAATACTCTCATATTCAATTATCCAATACTATCCTCAAAATCCTATCCAAAATAATAAACCAAACGCACCTTATATTATTTATATAATATAGAGTTATATGACAAATATTATTAAATTTCAAAATACTAATAGCTTATGTTTACATTTGCATAAGGAAACTTGGGTTCAATAGATGATTGTTAAGATTTACTATTTGTAAAATTATATTATGAAATGTTATACACTCATATATTATTTGGCAAAAATATTTATCTCTCAATTGTTAATTTTATGGAGTATTGACTCTTAATATTGATATTTGTAAAATTAAATGATAAAACTTGATACATTAATTGCATTATCATTTAACTTTTAAACTTTATCATTGAAAATTATATTATTATGATATAATATTATATTCGTTACGGTATTGTGTATAAATCACAATACCGTAACGAATATTAATATATAATTTATAGAATAATAATACTTAGAATTTATAGTGCATATTGATATTATAATAAATTAACTTATTTTGACATTCAAAAGATACTATATTAGTCATACGATATAAATCATAACCAATATAATTTGTAGATTAGTAATATCATCATAAAATTTAATGAACGTCGTTTTAATTATATATTTCATTTTAAAATTATTTTAATGTGTTTGGTTTTAAAATTTTGACTGTTTTAAAATGTTAACTAACTCAATATGTTTTTCTTTTTTGTTTTTGTTATTTAAGTTTCAGTAATGCTATTTTTTGTTATTTTTGTTATTATTAAAATATTGTTAATTAATAAGGGTAAGCGGTTTCGGGTACCTTGCATTTTTTGGGGGAATCAAAATCGGATCCACACAATACAAGTTCTTAAATTCAAAGAACCGGAACCTTAGAATTCAGGTTTTGGTTCCTTTCCCAAGTACCTTGTAAAAAAATCAATTATCCCCCAATAGTTTAAAAGTAACAAAAATACCTTAAAAGTTTATAAATACACCCCTAACAAATTTTGAGTACTCATTCATTTGTGTCTAATGTGACTCATAAATCCTCTAATCTCTAGGCAACACTTGAGTTCAATTGATTCATCACAATTCACATAAAATTCCTTAATCAAAACCAAAACACAAATAATTAATTAAATTAATTAAACAATTATACCATAAATCTATAATTTAATATTATAATTAATTAAAATTTTAATCATTTAATTAAATATTGTACTAAAGTTTATAATAGAATATTATAATTAATTAAATTTTTAATCATTTAATTAAGTATTGTACTAATGTAGTAAATTATTAATATTTATAATATAATGTTATAAATTTATAATTAATTAAGTAATCATTTAACTATGTAATATTATAATTAATTAAGTAATTATAATATAATGTAATGTTATTATTAATTAAGTAATTATTTAATTATAATGTAATGTTTTAATTAATTAAATTTCTAATCATTTAATTAAATATTGTACTAATGTTTATAATATAACTTTATAATTAATCAAGTAATCATTTAATTAAGTAATCATACTATAAATTTATAATATAATACTATAATTAGTTAAATTTCTTATCATTTAATTAGATATTATGCTAATGTAGTAAATTACTAATGTCTATAATATAATATCATAATTAATTAAGTAATTATTTTATTATGTAATATTATAATTAATTATGTGTAATATAATGTTACAATGAATTAAGTAAGCATGCGATAAATCTTTAATATAATATTATAATTAATTAAATTTCTAATTATTTAATTAAATATTGTACTAATTTTTATAGTAAAATGTTATAATTAATTAAGTAATTATTTGTGTATAACATAATATTATAATTAGTTAAATTTTTAATAATTTAATTAAGTATTGTAATAATATAGTAAATTACTAATGTTTATAATATAATGTCATAATTAGTTAAGTATCATTTCATTATATAATGTTTTAATTAATTATTTGATCATATTATAATGTAATGTTGTAATGAATTAAGTAATCATACTATAAATCTTTAATATAATATTATAATTAATTAAATTTTTAATCATTTAATTAAGTATTATACTAATGTTTATAATGAAATGTTATGATTAATTAAGTAATTATTTAACTATATTGTAATATTGTAATGTTATAATTGATTAAGTAATCATTTAATTAGTAATGTATTATGTTTATTAATTTATTTTATATAATTAATTAATTACTAATTATTACATATATACTTAAAACTTAATAATTTAAGTAAATAACTAAATATTATATTATTATTCAATCAAATATACTATTCTATTAAAAAATAATTCTTTTAATAATATTAAAATACTTTTAATTGGTTTTAATTCCAATTATACATTAAATTAATCAAAACTTATATATTAATATATTAAATTTTTTTATAAGGTGTAGTTTATATGTAATAAGTATAATTGTATGTTTATTTAATCAAGTTATCGTAAAAATTTAACTTTTTCTATTTTAATTATTTTATATGTAAAATTACAAGAGACCCCCCATTATTCACAGATAATTTTTCAGTTTAAGTTCCAAAATAGGATACCTGCTATCATTGTTTTAAAAACCGAACCATTCGGTGACTCGGTCAAAGGGTCGGTTCGCGGGTTGACTGGTCCAACCGATTGGACCGATCGGTCTGACTGGTATATAACAATCCCATCTTTAAATAATTCCATTAATTGTTATAAGTTTGAAAACCAGCAAATTCACTCCTAAAATTTTCTATAAGCCCTTGTAAGTTTAAAATAAAGCAAATGACCCTCAAATTTTATTATTAATTATTTTTTCTCTTCCCCCATCACTTCCATCTTTCACTTTTTTTATCTCTCTCCCCATCAGCCATCACTCCCAACAATTTCTTTCTTTCCCCCTTTTTTTTGTTTCTCTCTCTCTCTCTCCTCATCACTCTCGAACACTTTCTTCTTCTGTAATTTTTCTCTCCTCTTCTCTTTCTTCCCCCTCCACTGTAATTTTTCTCTCATCTTCTCTTTCTTCTTCCTTCCCTTCCCTTCCCCTCCCCTTACTTCTTCTTCTTTACCGGTAGATTTTAGAGTAAGTGAAGAAGAATTGAAGATGAAAATGAAAGATAGTAAAATGGTGTTGAAATTGGTTTAGAAATTAGGAATATGAATTTTTTTTGGATTCAACGAACCGTTTAAAGCCCCACCGATTGGATATATAATTTTTTTACTGTTTTATTGGTCTATTACCGATCTAAAACGGGTTTATTAATAATCCCGATTTTATGTTAATCTAGACCGAAGTAAAGGTTGGCTCTTGATCGAACCAATCGAACCGATCGATTTGGTTTGGGTTTTAAAATAGAGCCTGCTATAGGTTCCAAGCTGGTACTGTTGCACGTTATTTTTTCTAGGTTCTGGTTTCTCCATATGTAGAAATCGGAATTGGAATTGCACAATATAGATTCCAAAAAAATAGAACCAGAAACTACCTGTATAATATCGATTTTGGATAGGTTCCAGTTTCGATTCTAATTTTACTTGCTATCGATGCTCAGCCTATTAATTAATCATATTATAAATGGATTAATTGTGTTACAATAAACAAATTAATCCTGTCATAAACATTTAATCGTGCCATAAACGTGTTTCGTGTCATAAACAGATTCGCGGGTTCAGATCTCAACCCTAACCCAACCCATTTTAATAAATGTGTTAACCCAACCCAAATATTATTCATGTCAATCCTATGTCAGGTTGGCATGTCAATGCCCGATTTGTCGCTTCTAGATTAAATATATTGTGGCGCAGAAGTCTGGAACTTAGATTGGTTTCTATGAGAAAATATTTTATTTAATATATAAATAGGAAAGCCATAGGTGTCAAGTCAACAATATTTTCTTCTATCAATTTAGCTCGGCGACACTACCTAATCATTTAAGATTAAGAATTGAAAGCGGACAAAGTAGGGTTAGAACTTTGATTCCTTCAATATCATCATGCAACTTTCTTCGTCAGAAGATGCCGCCGTCGACTTTACTCAATTAAAAAAATAAGCCAGACGTCGACAATGCATGTCAGAAGCACGTTGACAGAAAGGCAACAAGACAGATAAGCAATTTAATCTTATTTTAGATCAAAACCACATTATCCATGCACACCTAACAAATTAATTATTAACATAATATATTACGTATAAGTTATAATAAAAATTAAAGATAATAATCTCAGTGACATTAATTTATTAATTATTATGGCATAATCTGTATTAGATATCCAAGTTTGTGATGAGTTCATATCAAATAGCTGTTGAGAGGAGGGAAGAAAGGAAATAACTGAAATGGCTGGAAAAGATTACGAATTCGTCTCTGGTTCACCAATACAAGATGGAAATCTGATTGAAATGGCAGATATAGATGTTCATGAACAACCAAATGACATTGAAAAAGGAATTTCAACTCGATTCAGGTCGCCTTCTCTTCATCTACTTTCTGGTAAGCTCTCAATCTTACACCACCTGAATGCTATTGAGATGATTTATGAATTATGATCTATGTAATATAGATTATTAACCAAACTTCTTTAGCCAGAATCATACTTCAACATATGCGTACCCCTAAAGAATACTGCGTTAAGAGGTGACATAGAAGAAGCAAGATGTTTGTTAAAACTGAATCATCATCAATCAGTGCTATGTGCAGCAATCACAGAGAATCATGAAACTGTTCTTCATGTAGCAACTGGTGCACGACACGTCGGTTTTGTACAGGAGATAATAAAATTGATGGAGCCGGTAGACTTAATGTTGCAAGACAAAAATGGGAACACTGCCTTTTGTGTTGCTGCAATGGTTGGAAGTTTACAAATTGCTAAGATTATGCTGAAAAAAAATGCAAGTTTGCTGACAATCCGAGGAGGTCAACAGATGACACCACTGTATTTAGCTGCTTTGTTTGGACATGGCGACATGGCAAAGTTTTTATACGCTGTTACTAAGAAGAATCTGACTGCAGATGACAGAAAAGCTACGTTTCTTATCAGTGTACATATGGGTCTATATGGTAAGTTTATGTTCCATATTTTTCTTCTTTTTACATAGTTGTTTTACCGTTCTAAATTCTATTATTTCTATTGTTATCGAATCATGACTTCACTAGTTCACTGGATCAATCACTATAGGAGAAAGTCTTCCTGGAACGACTATACTACGTCATATATAGGTCTGTTTAATAATAATATCAATTGTTATACCACATTAGAGATTGACCAAATAAATTATAGATTCTTTGTAATAATTAGTCTTTGAAGATATATATTATTGCAAATATATGTAAAATCTCGTACTAATTAAAAATATATTTTGGAAATTTCTCAGACTTTGCATTGACAATGTTTGAAGATGATAAAGAACTAGTTGTAGCTCGTGCTCCACAGGGGACATCCTTGCATATGTTGGCACAAACTCCCTCAGCGTTTGCTAGCAGAAGCCCAGGACCCTGGAAAAGACTTGTCAACTGGTGTTAGTTTCTCTAATTCTACTCTAATGCTCAATATATTTCTGTGATTGTAAAATATCTATTACATTTTATTTAGTTAGGAATGAACCAAAATTCTTTCGTAATTTGAATTTTTATCTGATTCCAAACAATGATTTCTATCAACGGAAGTCTTAATCCTGTTATTTACCTTGAGCTTTAGTATTTTTCTTCATTAAACTTTTGTTTTCTTTCTAAATAGCCTATCAACTTGGTTATTTAGAATTAGAAGACAATTAACTTCTCATTCATAGTCCCAGGAATGAAGTTTGCTCAGGATGCTGACTTGACTTCAACTCAAGCACTGAAATTAGTCCAATGTCTTTGGAGAGAAACACTAAAGCTACAAGATGTGGATATTTTGGAACTAATAAGAAACCCTTCAAATTTATTATTCGATGCTGCTGAACTGGGGAACTTCGAATTCTTGGCTGTGCTTATTCACTCATATCCTGATTTGGTTCATGAAACAGATGAAAATTATCGAACCATTTTTCACATTGCAGTTTTAAATGGTCATACCAATGTATTGAATCTACTCCATGAGTTCGGCTTCGCTAAGGAGTTATTAATGACCTATTTAGATAAGGATCAGAATAACATATTACATCTAGCTGCCAAATATCGACATCGAAGTTCAGTGAGTGGTGTATCAGATGCAGCTTTAGAACTGCAAGGAGAGTTACTAAAGTTTAAGGTAAATTTTCCCTTTTAGTTAATTCTTTTTATATCATAAATATGAAGAAGAATGCTAACTTTTCATTGAAACAGCCCTTGTTTTTCTTTTAATTGCATTTTTCAATCTATTTCATTTTGAAAATTGCTACATTTTTAGGACGTGGAAATGATCATAAAACCTTCATTTAAAGAGAAGAAAAATTCAGAGGGCAAAACACCTCGTGAGTTATTCATCACTGAGCACGAAGAACTATTAAAAAGTGCAAAATCTTCGACAAAGAAGACAGCTAGCTCATGTATGATTCTCGCATCAATTATCACGATTGTGATGTTCCATCAATTATCACAATTCAATTTACCCGGTGGTAACGACGGTGAAATAGGAAGATCAATAAACATGAGGGACACTTTATATCAGGTTTTTTCTGTGGCAAATGCAGTCGCATTATTCTGCTCTTCCATCTCAATGCTGATCTTTTTGTCCATTTTCACATCACATTATGCTGAAGATGATTTTCTCAAGTTGATGCCACTCAAATCGATGACTGGACTCTCAGCACTCTTCATGTCTATAATCACCATGTTGATCGCTTTTAGCTCAGTCTTTCTCATAAGTTATTGTAATTATAATGTATAATAATAAGTAACAAAAAATTGAAATTGTGATTTTTTCTTTTTTTTTTATCATTTAAATGATATATAATGTTGTGTCGCAAGTCTATTCTATTTAAGACTTAGTTATATGATTCGAGAATCACAAATTATTATAAAAACAATGAAAAGAAAGAAATTCGAATTTGTACTTCCCATAAAGACCGGGGAGTAAAACCAATTACCTCCCTTCAACTTTCCGAAACTCACATTCAGGTCCAAACCAATGGCATATTACACAGGTATCTCCCCTACAACCATCAGTTTCAACCGTCAAAGTTGATAGAAAAACGTGTTTGACTAATGTAATGACTAAAATGCCCCTAGACACAAAAGTCATTATTTTAATTTCAATTAAATATTTTATTCTCTTTGTTCACCACTCACTAAGCTTCTATTTATTTATTCTTCATCTTCAAAATCTTATTTCCTTTATTTGAACTTACCGTCTTAATTCTCCTCCATACTTGAGCACTAGATCAAGAAATTGCACTGAGCAGTAGCGCTTTTGACACCACAGCCCACCAATCTCACGATTAAGTAAGGAACCCGTATAAAATCACATGGGTTTTTCAAGAGATTGCAAAAGAGGAGCTCGCTCTGACTCTGAGAGGAATAATGAAGATGAAAGATGGATGAGAAGATCGGAGATACAATCTTAATGCGGTGGGGTGGCCACCACAAGGCGACATGGCCGTCGTGACTCGTGTGGTCATGGCCATCGCGGCAGTCTGGTCCATCTGTCGACGTTGTTGTCATGTGGTCTCTCTTTGGTCTACAATGAAGCCGTCGCGTAGAACTAGGAGAGGTAATGTAGTCGTCCTATGGAACTAGGAGGGATGAAGTCGCCGTCGCGTGGAACCAAGAAAGAGGCCCTCACCATCACAACCCCGCCGCTTAGAAGCCATTTCCGCTCAGAGGAAGAGAAATAAGTCAAATTAACTCTTCGTATTGCCCTTTGAACCGTTGTATTTAACGGAGAAAATTGACGTAGGGTAGTAATGTGTAATATGGAAAAGCACTGGAACTTTAATTACATATAGTTATGTATTCAAGCTATGTTTAACATATGAAATAAGAAATTTGATTTGTGAATTCCTAGCTTTGTGCCCAATCTTGATTCTAACAAGACCAACATGAATAACAAATATTCCAAAGGCTTAACAGGTATATCTTCAATCCAATTTTCGAATATTAGTTCCTAACAAAAGTTATGATTCCGCATGGAGGTAAAAATTTCGATCTAAGTGAAAATAACAAAATTGTATGAAATTTGTTGTTTCAATCTAAAATTTGAACCTTTTTTACAACTAATTAAACCAAATGATTTTGTTATTAAATTAATTTGGTAAAAGTTGGCTGAGTTATCTACAAATTTTGTAGTCATTAACAAAGCTTATTATATCTCTTATTTTTTTTCTTTCAGGAAAGGATGCTGCATCAAGTCACTACCTAATCAAAATGGATTCCTTCTTATTCCTATCTAAAGCTTCAACACATAAATTTATCTTGGACGCTTTCTTTGCTGGGGGCTTCAAATGGTGTGCACTTTACTCAACTTTGTCGTTTATAATCTATAAATTATACTTAAGCACAAGTAGGACGATGATAAATTTGAATAGTATTTTTCACTAATTCTTTATCAATCTCAATTAACGAAAATTTAAGCTGCTATCACAGGAAATTGACAATCTATCTAAATAGGGATTGGATCAAAGCTGGAACTGGTTGTATCTCGGTGAATTTGGAATTGATGAATACGAATTCTTTTCAAATGGGATGGAAAGACGATGTGATTTTCAATTTTTTCTTATTTAATCAGCTAAAAGAGAAATATTTTAGTCTTCAAGGTAATATGTTTACAACTTTTTTATTAGAAATTAATTGTAAGAAAAATCTCATAGTAGTCAGTTTTTATAGATTTATTAATAGATAATTTTGATTGACGCAGATAGGAGTGTGAAGCAATTCCAGGGGTTGTACACTAAATGGGGTATCAAAAACTTCATTGACTTGAATACATTTTCAGATCCTCTTAATGGATACCTTATGGATGATTCTTGTGTTTTTGGTGCTGAGGTTTTTGTTGTCAAAAGTACATTCAAAGGGGATCAATTATCACTGATGAAGAACTATGACTCTCTCTACCATCATGGAAAATTGAGGAATTTTCAACTTTATGAGTCAGAATCATTTGGATGCTATGATTGGTATATATAGTTGCTTTCATGTGGAACTTGAGTTGTGTTAATTTACTTCACACACCATAGAAATTACAGTAGAAGTTATTATTGAATTGCAGGAATGTTAGACTCTACCAAAATGGGCAAGGGCAACAGTATTTCACTATATCTAAATATGTTTGGATCAAGTGTTCCCCAAGATACGAAATTGTTAATTAAATTTGCTTTGTGTGTCAAAGACCATGGGTATAGAAAACACGTCAATTTTTTGAAATAAAATATTTTGTATTGTACGAAATTGTTACATGCACATACATCAATTGATTTTCTGTAATTTCTGATATTTATACAAATTTTAAATGCAAATTTCTGCATTTTTTTTATCAAGACTATAAATTCTTGTGCTTTAATATTTTTTCTTCTTGTTATAAGTGCTTGCATTTTTAATATAAATTTTGTTCTTTAACTACTTTCTTTTCATCTTTCCTGCAGCTCAATCCATAATCCCTCAGAGAAGTCACTGACGTGGGGTTTCCGAAGAATCACGGCATTAGAAAAACTCAAGAATTCAAAAAAAGGTTTCTTGGTTGATGACACTGTCATTATTGAAGTTGAAGTTAAATGGGTTGGAGTTGTCACAAAATGGTCGACTTAATTCTTTGTCATAAACATCATTGTGCTTCATCTATGACTTACATTTCTCTACCTTCTTTTGTTTCTATGGGATTTATATAATTTACATCATTCTTATTTGGCTTTATAATTAGCATAAGTACATATAGCTAGAGTTCTTTTATTTTCACTAGAAGTTCTTATTCTATATATCTTGTGTATAAGTTAGCTCACTACTGGACTGATATAATGTTGAGTCCTGGTCTATTCTCTAATACACACCCCACCCTCTCAATGTGGCCAACCACCACCTGCCAGCTTTTCTACAAATATATTTCTTAAAAGCTTGTAAATTGTCCTTGTTTTATTGGAATTGTTGATTTTGTTGCCTTAATTCAAGAAATTAAATAAATGTACTCATTTATTAATTAGATGTCGTTAACCTCAACTAGAGCCGAACCTAAGGCAAATGACCTACCCTTATGGAATTTATATTTGTATATGTCTTTTATTAAAAACAATAGAGATGAGCGATTTTAGGTACCTTGCATTTTTCGAGGGAACCGAAACCGGAACCGCACAGTCTAGGTTCCCAAAAAAAGAAACCGAAACTGCATAATGTAGGTTCTTAAATTCAAGGAACCCAAACCTAAAATGTAGGTTCTGGTTCCTTTCTCAGGTACCCTATAAAAAATCAATTATTGCTTATTAGTTTAAAAAATGACAAAAATACTATAAAAGTTTACAAATACACCTCTAACAAATTTTGATTACTCCTTCATTTGTGTCTAATGTGACTCATAAATCCTCTAATCTCTAAGCAATACTTGAATTAAATCAATTCATCACAATTCACATAAAATTCCAAGCAAAACCAAAACAAAAACAGTTAATTAAATTAATTAAACAATCATACTATAAATCTATAATTTAATATTATAATTAATTAAATTTCTAATAATTTAATTAAGTATTGTACTAATGTTTATAATGAAATATTATAATTAATTAAGTAATCATACTATAAATCTATAATATAATATTATAATTAATTAAGTAATCATACTATAAATCTATAATATAATGTTATAATTAATTAAATTTTTAATTATTTAATTAAGTAATGTACTAATATAGTAAATTACTAATATTTATAATATAATGTTATAAATTTATAATTAATTAAGTAATTATTTAATTATAATGTAATGTTTTAATTAATTAAATTTCTAATCATTTAATTAAATATTATACTAATGTTTATAATAGAATGTTATAATTAATTAAGTAATCATTTAATTAAGTAATCATACTATAAGTTTATAATGTAGTGCTATAATTAATTAAATGTAGGTATTGTGCTAATATAGTAAATTACTAATGTTTATAATATAACATCATAATTAATTAAATAATCATTTCATTATGTAATACTATAATTAATTATGTAATTATACTATGATGTAATATTATAATGAATTAAGTAATCATACTATAAATCTTTAATATAATATTATAATTAATTAAATTTCTAATCATTTAATTAAATATTGTATTAATGTTTATTATAGAATGTTATAATTAATTAAGTAATCATACTATAAATTTATAATATAATGTTATAATTAAATGATTTATAATCATTTAATTAAGTATTGTACTAATATAGTAAATTACTAATGTTTATAATATAATATCGTAATTAGTTAAGTAATCATTTCATTATGTAATGTTATAATTAATTACGTAATCATACTATAATATAATGTTATAATGAATTAAGTAATCATACTATAAATCTTTAATGTAATATTATAATTAATTAAATTTTTTATCGTTTAATTAAGTATTATATTAATGTTTATAATGGAATGTTATAATTAATTAAATAATAATTTATTTAGAATGTAATGTTGTAATTAATTAAGTAATCATACTATAAATTTATAATGTAATGTCATAATTAATTAAATTCTTAATTATTTAATTAATTAACGTACTAAATTATAATTAATTACTAATGTAATGTTATAAATTTATAATTAATTAAGTAGCCGTTTAACTATAATGTAATGTTATAATTGATTAAGTAATCATTTAACTTGTAATGTATTAATGTTTATCAATTTATTTTATATAATTAATTAATTACTAATTTATTACAGATATACTTAAAACTTGATAATTGTAGTAAATAACTAAATATTATATTATTATTCAATCAAATATACTATTATATTAAAAAGTAATTCTTTTAGTAACATTAAAATATTTTTAATTGGTTTTAATTCCAATTATACACTTAATTAATTAAAACTTTAATATTCATATATTTTAATTTATTAAAGTTTTTTATATGGTGTAGTTTATAAGTAATAAGTATATTATATATTTATTTAATCAGGTTATTATAAAAATTTAGCTTTTTCCATTTTAATTTTTATGTATGTAAAATTACAATAGACCCCTCATTCTTCACAGATATTTTTTCAGCCCAGGTTCCAAAACAGGGTACCTGCTACAAGTTCTTTTTTCCAAGTTTTGATTTCTCCACATGTAGGAGCCGGAACCAAAACCGCACAGTGTCGGTTCCAAAAAAAGGAACTGAAACCTATCTACATAGTATTGGTTTCGGGTAGGTTCCAATTCCGATTCTAACTGCTACTAGTATTCACCCCTAATAAATAATTTACATATAAAGTTATAATCCCAAATTTGTATACCTATATGACGGTAGAGTTGGTAGAGTATATGTGAATTAATGATCTATCAACTCAATTAGCATACAGGTTCAGATATGTGTAACATTACTCGTCTATTTAAGTTAGCCTCAAAAGAATTTGAATCCTAAGAATATCTACGAGTACTTTGGGTAATGTCGTCTTTCCTAACATTCCATCTCAACTTTCGTGTGTTTAAGTGATGTAGCATTCCATATATTTAATCATGTAATTTTACCACTTAGATATCAATTTAAGATCAATGCCTCTTCACTAATTGGACCAAGAATTATATCCATATACCATTAGCCTTTTAAAGCTTTACTGATCAATAAACTTTATCACCTGTCGATTGCTTTCGAGGAAAATTAAGTTGAAGCCTAGCAACTTTCGCAATGGCCTCGTTTTCTTCTGGGGTCCCACTTTCAAGGAAAGCTCCAACAATCTTTCCATCTTTGATCCAATAGATTCTGAACCTACGCTGAGGTGATGCAGGATTATTGTCCCCAAATACCGCGGCCTCACTACCATTGTCACCATAGAATTTCCATGAGAGATCAAAGGAACGAGAAGAGAAAAATGGAACATCGTCATATTCCTCTACCGTTTTGCCTTCGTCGCTTGCCTTGATGGCCTTTGCAGCCTGCTCAGTTGATTTGCGAGCATGGTCGACATGTTCAATTATTCTCATCTCATTATTGTACAAGTTCAGAGGGAAAGTAGGCGCATCTCCCACAACATACACATCAGGAACACTTGTTTTGAAAAATTCATCAGTCTTCATCCCAACTTTGTTCTCTTCAACCTGCCCCTTTAATAATGCTGTTACAGGTCTAACTCAAATACCAACAACAACAATGTCGGCTTCCAGCACCCTGCCATCCTTTAGTTTTACTTCTCTGACATCTCCATTAGAGTCAGCCTCAAACTCAACAGCAACTGTTCTCCAATAGACGTTAATACTTTTATTAGCATAATAACCTTCATAGAATGCTGCAATACTAGCAGTAAAGAGCTGAGGCATGCACCATAGTTCAGGAAAAACCATGCTAACATCAAAATTATTGACCCGTAAAGCTGCACTTGCTTCAAGACGAATGTATCCTCCCTCAACAACCACAGCTTTCCCATTTTTATTTGCTTTAATTGCTTCAACCAACTTATCAGCATCAACAATTTCTCTTAAGTATAAGATATTTTTTGCATTGGGTCCTCGCAGACCAAAATCTGATAACCTTTTAACTGTGGAACCAGTTGCAATAATTAAAATTTTATACTTGAAGACTTTCCCAGATGCACTAACAAGCGTCTTGGAAGCAAGATCTACTTGGATAATTTCTGTACCGAGGAACAACACAGACATGGAAACCTGGAGGCTAGCAGGTCCCTCTAGTAAAAGATATTCCTAGCTAAGTGTGGGACGCTCGTTTGGAGCCACCGCTTCTTTGGAGATGATTGTAAGCTCTCCTGGCTTAACACCCTGCTTGGCAAACTCCCTTGCTGCATATCCCGCCGCCACACCACCGCCAGTGATCACATACCTGAGTTGTTTTTCTGCCATTTGTTTCGTAAAATTTAAACATCCGAAAAACATCCATAAACCGTTTTAAGAGTAAAAAAAAAGCATTAAAAGTGTAGAAAAATATTTTTTCTTCGCTTTCGTTAACTTTCATCCCTCTATGCGAATACTATCTTCAAAATCGTTTCATCCAAACTCTATTTTTTCAATAAGCTCTTAAGTTAGGCAGTGCAGACCAGCATTCTCTAGCAGCGTAATATTTTTCTTGTTTTTATCATGGGCGTCTGAATCCACATCAGTAGCCCTACAATTAAACAGGAAACTGATTTCATCGTTAAAATAGATGACATTTCTCAACTCAAAACATAAAATTNTTATCCTAAAATTTTATTAATAAGGGGTAAAATTGTAACAAAAAAAGATTACCAAGTAATCATATTACCTTCTATATTACCAATAGTAACTACTATTGGTATTAGAAGATTACCGAAATCTTATATTACTTGACAACCAAACGTAGTAATCAAGTAATATAGGATGACATTACCTCAGTAATCTCCTATAATTCCTAACCAAACACACCCTTAAAGTAAACGAGAGTCCATGTGTTTACTGGGAAAGGTATTGACATTTCTACTAATGCTAGCACTCCTTAGTCGGAGATGGATTTTCTTTTATTAGTGAAATTTTATCAAAACAAACTTTTATATATACATGGGTCAAACTATTTTAACAATTAGTCAATTCAATGGCTTAAAGCCGACTTGGCTGAGCGTATATATTGATGAAAAGAGTTTATTTAAATTCACACTTTTGAAATTTTTTTAGGTTGTTTGGTTACATCCAAAGTGCTTATAATATTTAAAAAAAATTTATTATACGGCTTATAGACTCTTTTTCAGCTTACATAAAGTGTTGAAATTTCAAGTATATTCTTATTATATTTTATAAATTTGAATTAGTTTATTCTTATATATTAAAGCCGTTTTGTAAACTAATATTAGAAAATTCTTTTGCATTTTTCTAATAAAAGAACTCACAAAGTTAAAAACTATAATTTTATACTCTACTTCAATATGCTTTACTTCTATAAGCTCTATTTGAATAAACTATACCAAATGGACCATAAGTTTCATTAAAACTCTTTAAAACTTTTACAATAGTTATTATTTTTTTAAAATTTAAATTTAAAAATTAAAATACGGATTTTGAGGACACAACTAGAGGTGAGCGGTTCCGGGTACCCTACATTTTCTGGGGGAACCAGAACCGGAACCGCACAGTGCAGGTTTCCAAAAAAAGGAACTAGAACTAGAACTGCACAATGCAGGTTCTTTAATTCAAGGAACCGGAACCTAAAATGCAGGTTCCGGTTCCTTTCCAGGGTACCCTGTAAAAAATAATTACCCCCCTATTAGTTTAAAAAATAGCAAAAACACCTTATAAGTTTACAAATACACCCCTAACAAATTTTCATTATTCATTCATTTGTGTCCATCCAAGATTGAATTTGAAGCATCAACGGGGAAGAGCGAACTGCAATGAATTAAGCAAGCCTAAGCCTTCTTGGGCAAGCCCATTTTGAAATGCAATTAATGATCTATTTTCTTTGATGATAAATAAATCACATTATTGAGTTTCTGATGACGAAATTAGTATTACACGATTAATTATATTTCCCAAACATAAAAAGCAATTGCGTAGTACTCCACATCTATTGAATAAAAAAAATAACAAAAAGAATCAAATCAAATCTCTCTACACTCAGATTTGGTAATTGAATTGGCATTTTTCAAATCAAAATATAGGACTTGGCGTGATTCAATATCAACATCAAGCAACACAAATGGTCATTTTCATTCAGTCTAATGGGCATTATTGCATGGCAGATTGGCAGTCAATTCAATTACATTGAAATTTATGTGATGCCATTCTGCAATCATACTGTAATTAGAATTTAGAAAATGACAACTCTACACTTTTTCTCACAATCCTTGCTCAATTAGTCTGCTTTTTGTTGAACTGTTGATGCTGTATTTTGAAAATAAGAACAAGACTATTGCAGTGATTACTCTTGAAATTGTAGTTTTAACTATAAAAAATCAATTACAAAATATATATATTTGTTACTTTGCAAATTATATTTGTCAAAATAATAATAATAATAACAAAAATAAAATAAAAAAACACGCCTGTTCTTGTTTTATTAAATCACCCAACTAATTAATTTTTTTATGGCAACTCACTGACTTGATTCTTGAAGATAACATAAAGAGAATTAAAAGCTCTAAAAAGGTACGGTAAGAGCAGCAGGATTGGGGTGTACAATAATAGACTGGAAAACTTATAAATAAAGAACATATATATATTAAGAAAACAATATTATTACATTGAAATATATATAAAAAAATGGACTTGATACATCACAGTTGACAAGAATGGAGGACTAAATTATTACATCGAAAATCTTCCGAACTGAAACAAATTATGAATTGAAAACTAGACAAATACAAAATAAACAATCAACAAAAGTAATGATTTGAGAAAACAATCGGAGCCTCATATTGTTTTGTATGTGAAACAATAATACAACTAACACTGGGGTAGATCCGCCGGCGGTGGAGGCAACCTAGTCGACGGAGTCGGTCCATTTTCAACTACAAAAGCTGTGGCCAAACCCCACGGCAAGTGAACGTCCAAATGGCAGTGCATGAACCAAACACCTGTATAAAGTTCAGTGACAAAACAAGAAAAATATTAAGTAAAAAGTCAGTCTGAAGACATCTTCTGCTTCCTAATTTGCTTAATGTTTAAAAAATCTTATGCCTGTTGGACTATCGCTTTCAGATCAGAGTATCATGCACGCATTATATTTAATCTAAAATAAATACCCACCAACCAATTTAGAGAAATTACCATGCACAGAACGTAACTTAAGAAAATTAATTAACCTGGATTATTTGCGGTGAATCTGATGACAGCCCAGCCTCCAACTGGCACGGCTATGGTGTTACGCCTTTGTGGGTTGACGAGATTGTATTTTTTACTATCTCTCGTTTTGTTATAGTTTCCAAACCCTTGGGCCAATACGTAAAAGTCGAAACCATGAAGGTGCATGGGATGATTCTCGGTTGTGATTAAAGCCGTGTTTTGGAAGACCATCTCCACCGTCGAATTGAACTTGATTTTCTTGACCTTTGTTACCTTGGGTGCAAACAGTAGTGACGTGGCATTGTTGAAGCTGCTGTTTGTGAAGTCAAACGTAACAGGTGGCTTGTTGGGGAAATCAGTGGTGTACACTCCGTTCACATTGTAAAAGAAGGCTTGCAACATTGACAAACTTGTTGGGAGCTGGAACGATTGATTGTTCATACTGGCAGAGAATCGTTGACCGTTTTGACCTTGACAAGTGGCGTTTGTTCCACAAGGTTCAAGCGACAATCCGACGGTAACAAACATATGCTCGTCCACATGACGTGGCACGGGCACCCAGTGGGGGCATCCTTCTAAACTGGTTAAGTTACTGTAGAATCTGTGAGCAGTCGGCGTGTCATTGAAAGCTGGAAGGACAGGCATGATCGGAGTTGCTGTGTTTGAGCCTTCATATTCGATGATGCCTGTGGTGGTGGTGTTGTCAAAGGAGAGTGGCGCACTGGCATAAGCATGAGCCGCCATGTAATAAGAGCCCACTGGTTGGTTGGCCTTGAGGAGGACATCGGTGGTCTGGCCGGGGGCAATGACCACAACATCAGTGACCTTTGGTGTTGTGTAGCCAGCGTCGACGGCCACCACTGTCAGATTGTGATTAGCTATCTTGAAGAAGAGCTGGTTATTGAGTGCAGCGTTGATTATACGCAATAGATAGGTCTTTCCTTGTTGGACTTCGAGCTTGTATGTTCCTGATGATTAATAAGACCAAAGAGTGAACCATATCAGACAGTAAATTAAAGAAAATGTACCATTATAAAGCTTAATATATTATACACTTACGATTTTTAGAGCATGGATAGAGGTCTCCGGGCCTTCCGTTAATTGTGAAAGCATCGGAATTATTAGGACCTCCACCAGTGGCGAGGGCCTGGTTCTCAACATCGACAACATTAGCATTCCACCACTCACCTGCAATCACGTTAATTAATCAAATAATTAGGGAATGGCTTGTAAATTACAGTATCAACTCCAATTGTTAGTAGATTTAATTAAAAATTAATTTGGAGAGTTAAAGGTATATACCCAGTAAGATGGGAACTTCCTTGTGAGGTTTAGGGAATGGATAGGCTTGACCAGATCTTGGGCGAATGATAAGGGCGCCATAGACAGTAGCACGGAGCCATGAGACGTGAGCATGCCACCATAGTGTTCCCTCCTGGTTGATGATTTTAAATTTGTAGGTGTATTTACCTCCAGGTGTTATTGGACATTGAGTTACCATACTAGGTCCATCTGCCCAGCCACTCAGTATTTGAAATATTCCATGCCTACATAAACATAAATTTCATGATATATCAGATTTATTATTATTGAATTGGAAGAATTCAAACATGAAGATGATGAAGATTTTTCTGCTGTCAATGTAACGTAACATCATTGTTTTTGTTTACAATATAGTGATTACACCTATAGTATTAAAATGTGTATGCATTAATGAAGTTTCTTCTCTAGACAATTTAGATATTCGTCGAAGAAAATAAGAATTAATCAAGAAAAAGCAAAGCAAGAATTTCAGAATGAGGATAAAAAACTAGTTGGAAGATTTGGGGGGAAAAAGTCATGAAGTTGTTATATTGCCAAAGTCAAAACGATTTAAAAAATAGTATAATGAAATTGATTTTTGCTTCGCGTATAAGGGTTAATTACCAGTGAATGGTAAGGTTATAGGGTGACTTGTTGAAGACATGAACAATAACAGTGTCACCCTCATGAACGCGTATCGTTGGGCCAGGGAGACTTCCGTTCACTGCTGTTATTACTTGCTGGTTGCATAACCTTCCGATAGTCAAGTTTTGCACCTGATATATCAAACCAGTAAACACTGTTATTATCTAAATGCTCGTTGTCAAATTAGTTATATTCTAAAGAAAACTAAGGAGAGAAAATGAAGTCTACATGAAATGTGTGCTCCACGATTGCGGCAGAAGCCATTGAAGAACAAACCAAGAGCACAAAAGCTGCACATACTAGCAATAGCATAGAACGTGCCATGCTGAAAATTAAGAAGAACGAAGACACTTAAGAAAAGAGGGTTTAAGAAACAATGAAGAGAAAATAGGAAATGCCTGAGTTGGAATGAAGACACAAAGAGAATGGCAAGCTCTATTTATAAGAACAAAATTTGAGGGTCAACTTCCACAACGTACGTCCAACGCTTACTTTGTCAGACAAAAAATTTCCTCCAAAATCCCAACTGCTATATCTACACGGAAATTAATATTAATATAAAAAAGCAAAGCCTTTGCATGTACATTTCGATTCAGTTGCGTAATGAACTAGTCCAAAGGCGAATTTGGGCCGATTCCTATAAGGATTAAAATTGAACAAGCAATTCAGGAGTTAGTAGGAATTTCGTTATCTAACAGCTTTGGTTTGGTAATCAAAGTATGCTTAGACTACAACTACTTAGTCAGATTTGAGTTCTTCAAGCAAACTAGCTAATCTAGGCCTTTTGAATTCGTAATTCTGACAATGACATTATATATTTATATGCTATCCTTTAATTATTCCCTTCTTTGTCAGCTAATTATCTTGTACGTACATTTTTCCATTAATAAATGACTTAAATTCATATTTATTTTTCTTATGTTAATATCGTCTAGCTGTTTTTGTAAGACATCCAAGGAACAAGCACTAACTAGGACTGACAATATTTTGGTCCCAATCATTAATTAGAACGTAATGGCCGCATTTCAAGCGGTCGGCCATGTGCCAACACCCGAATTATTCAATTTACAGGTTGAATTAAATTGAAGAAAAAAATTGTAGCTAATTGGAAATTAACATTCAAATCATCACCACCAATAACAGTCAATCCATCAATGGAATTGTTTAATCCAATAAAAAACAATCTGATGACCAAATTGTCAATGATCACAAGCTGTAGCATGTTATATATTACATGTTTGCTGATTGCTGTAGGTCCTTAAATGACAAATGATGAGAATAAATTACAGAAAACTTTAAGTATGTATATATATATATATATATATATATATATTTGTCTTTGAAAGTGATGGAAAACAATTTAGCATAACATTCTAANTCGGAGGAGTCTCAGCACGGGTCATCTCAGCCACCACAATCTACGTTTATCGCCCGAGAAGTCGGATTATGGAGATGGGTATCTCTCCGAAGATCTTGAATGTGGCCGCCGACCGAGAGAAGGTTCGTAAGTTTATTTTGTTTTTAATGTAATGTGTATGTTTAGTTGAAGTTATTTTTAAGGTAATTAAAAGAGTATTTTAATGTTAAAAACTCTTTAAAAATATTATTTATTTGTATTGTTTAGTTTAATTATCTCATGAAATATTAAATAAATTAACTTAGCTTGTCCTTGTGAGGTCAATGAGAGAAAGTATATACATCTTGTTCTTTGTAAACTTCTTTATGTCCCAAGTTTGCCATAAAATTAAGGCCGAACGACTTGTGCATACCCAAGATTTGCCATAACGATAAGTTGATACCCAAAAAGTTTTAAAACGACAAATAGATACCTTCCGTCATATTCGGTTAGTGATTTCTGTTTATTAATAGTAAAAAGACTAAAATGCCCTTTAAAGTTTGAATTTTAGTTTTTTATAAATTTAAAAATTTCTAAAAACCCCCTAGGTTTACAAATTTAACTAAATACTCCAATATATAAAATTTTTGTAAAATAACAAAAATACCCCCACCACCCGCAGTGCCAGATTCTGGCCGGAAAGTTACGTTACGACACAGACCCATCAGATCTGTGTCGTAACGTGCCGATCTTGCCTTTTCCGGCTAGATCTGGCCGAAAAAGGCCAGATTTAGTCGTCGATGCCGCAGATGGAGTTTTGCGGCGTCGACGGCCAGATTTAGCCGTAGATCTGGCCTTTTCCGACCAGTTCAGCCACGGATCTGGCCGGAAAAAGCCAGATCGACGCGTTACGACACAGATCCGACGGGTCTGTGTCGTAATGCAACTTTCCGGCCAGATTCCGGCGGTGGTGGCCGGAATCTGGCACTGTGGGCAGCAGGGGTGTTTTTGTTATTTTACAAAAAATTTATATATTGGGTTATTAAGTTAAATTTGTAAACCTATGGGGTTTTTTAGAAATTTTTAAATTTATAAAAAACTAAAATTCAAACTTTTAAGGGCATTTTAGTCTTTTCACTATTAATAAACAGAAATCATTAACAGAACATGACGGAAGGTACCTATTTGTCGTTTCAAAACTTTTTAGGTACCAATTTATCTTTACGGCAAACCTTGAGTATGTATAAGTCGTTCTCCCTAAAATTAATATAGGCTTTGTAATTTCAAAAACATAATTGACTAAAACATAGATGAATTTCATAGAAAATGCACGTGCAAAATGAGAATACATGCTTATATTTGTGATATAAGACTTCTTTGAAGAAACCCTAACTACCTTTAGCCCTTGTTCACGCCACCTTTACCCCATTTTCTCTCAATTTTCTTCACTCAATTTCAAAGGGAAATCATAGGATTTGGCTTGGATTTTTGGAGATTTTCAATCCTAAGCATCTAAGGTAAGATTCTAGCAAAATGAGTGTGATTAAACTTTAAAGTTTTAAATTCTTATCGTTTTTATATGATCTAGGCCCAAGAGGAAGATAGTTTTTAGCAAAAGGAAGTGATCTCACTTATTCAAGGTAAGTAAACCCTAATTTTAGCCGTTGATTTGAGCAAGACTTTTGTTGAATGAATTTTTGAATGTTTGTATATGATGGTATGAGAGAATTATTGGCTATTTTTTGTTTAATGATGCATAATTTCCAGCCATGAGAAGTTGTTTATGCTATGTGTTGAATTGTTGGAATTATGGAAGAATTAGTGATGAAATTTTGGAAGTGTAGAGATTGTTGAACTTGGCCAGGTTTGATACTAAAGTTAGTGAGTTTTGCTCACAATTTGGTGAATTAGAGAGTTGTGGAAGAGTAGCCAACATGGTAGTTGCATGTGCATATGAAGTGTTTGATGAAAATCTAAAGAGAAATGCTGTGCAGTTGGCTAAACTAATGAAGAAAGGGTTAGAGAAAGACAAGAACTAAAGTGAAAGATCATGTTTGGGCTTAACCAAGTGTAAATGTTAATATTAAGAGTGCATATTGTTATGCCAAATTTAATATATACTGGTCATGTTGTTCATGAGAGAAATGACCCTTAGTGCTTGGTTCTAGTCTACTTGAACCTTTACTACTTTTTGAATAGCACATGAAAGTATTAGAGAGAAGTTGCAAGTTAAAGCATTATTTGATATGGTAATTGTGATAGTAGAGAATCGTAGAATAAGTCAGACATACCATTTGCCATATGAATTTGCAAGTTTGTATATGTGAATTTGAAAAGCATATTAAGAATGGGCTTGATCATGCATATATTTTGCACATGATATATATGCTAGCCTTGATTTAGTAAATGAGAATATGAAAAATATGTTAAAGGAATATGAAAGAAATGTTAGCAAGGAATGAGAAAGAAAGAAAGAAAATGACTAATAATTTTCTTTTAAGTTAACATGCAAGTTATATTTTTCTCATTTACTAAAGAATGCAGTGTAATTTCCATAGCTTGGAAATTTATGTGAAATGTGCATAGTATCTCTTTCTATTCTCTTTCTACACATACTATGTTATAGGTTTTGCGATGGGGAACCCGTGAGTGACAGAGATGCTCACATACATGTTCCACGAGCGAGCAGCATTAGCAGAGAGATACAATATTTTACAGTCTGTCAGTAGTGTATGTGTATACAGATTGTACCCAGCAGAGCATACCTACATGCACGTTGCCACGAGCGAAGCGACCACAACAGAGATATATAGTACTTGTATAGTCTGTCAGCAGTGCTGTAGATGAGGATTGTACCTACTCACATGGCCAAGGTTTTAATCCATGCATCATCTAGTTTGATTGGCAAACCAGAATAGAAGAAAGAAAAGAAGAGATACAACATAAGAGATAGAAAACAGAAAACGAAAAGAAAGAAAGTTCTTTTCTCAGGAAAGTTTATTATTCTTCATATGTATTATCACTTTACGTGATTCAGTATTTCTTATGGGCTCGACGATGTACAATTTTATTCATTGTCTTTGCATGTTTATAAGTAGCAAATCAGAATATCGAAAAGAATGCAGAATATTATCAAAGAATAAAGTGAGAAAGAAAAAACAAACATGAGTAACGGAGGAAGAACAGTAGTACAGTTTGGTTTACTTACTAAGCATAGTGCTCACTCTGTTATTTTATTATTTGCAGGAACTAGATGATTTACAACGCGGTGGACGTCAAGAAGTGGAGGTTTTGGCAGCACTGTTCAAGATTACTTTGTGCTTACTAAAGTAATTTGTATTTTGTGTATATATTTATATGAATTAAATTAGAATTTTTGATTTTACATTATGTATAGATGTTTATAAAGTTATTTACTGGATTTTATCATATATTTTCTCAAAGAATTACTACTATATGTATTTACATTGTCTACAGTCCAGAATAAGATCCATTTCTTTAATTGGAGTGTAATAAAAGGTGCTAATTTAACAAGTAATGGGAGTCCTCTTATTCCGTTGATTTGAAGAGCAATAGATTAGATGGGTAACCTTTTAGGAGAACATATCAAGACACACTTTGGCCATTACTCAACATGGCTGCAGAAATGAAAATAGCTTTTGCAATTTTAGTTGGAAACAACTCCATCACAAATGAGATACAAGCACCTCTAAATCATGTCCCACCCAAAATCACCTGCATTTCAGTCATTAATTAGTATTATAATTATGTGGCTAAAAACAGACTCTATGAATAGCTAGATGGTGTATGTCGTTGTTAAACATAAGTTAAAGTTTTTATCTTTACAACATAGAAAGATAGAACGAACATTTTTCTTCATTTCCTAGCTTGTTTCAGAACTCAATAAGGTTGATGTATTGTCCTAGACTTGTAATTGTGTTTATAATCACGAGTTTGCTCAAGAACCTGCTAAGTCATCAAATCCACTTTAAATCCAGTTTCTTCTACAAGTGTCATTGTCTGTATCCAACACCAGGCACCAAAACCATCTCCATGAACAAGGAGAATGGTTGGTTTCCAATG